CGTCTCCCTTCACCTACCCCTCTGTTGCCCATCCCCCAGAGAGGAGGTTATATGTAGCTCCCTGTGATCAATTCCCCTTTTCTACACCCCCCTTCCCTCCTGGTATCACCACTGTGACAGGGCTTTTTCAGTGCTTGAATGACATCTTTTCTGACTTTCACTAAAACTCTAATAATAGCTATGACTTATGTTTTATTGTGATAACTTTGGGTGGTGTAAACATTTAATTTGCTTGATTTTTGACCAACAGGTTATGGTTTAAATAGCCTAGAGGTGCCTTAAAAGAAAAACCTGGATATTTGCCAAACAATCAGCCATTGAATCACCTGTGGAGCACAGCTCCACTCTGATATGCATGGTGCTCCCCAGGAGTCAGAATGAACTTCATAGAAACTGGCCACTTTATCGCTCCGATGACTTAGTGAGATTAGTAACTTGCATATAGAATACTCGGCAAAGATGAAGCAAGATTCAAATCCATGATTACAGAACACTCTTCCTTCTATAACATTTACCTCAAACATAGATAACACGTGATGACAACAGTTGCATAATAATTTTTATAAAGAAAAGCAATACCAATAGCCCCAAATAGCTTAAGCAGCCCAACTTTCTTCAATTTGTGGAAGATATTTTATTTGGTTATGATTCCTTGTTGTTTGATGTTCTCAGGTCATTTTTGAATCACAGTGACAAACATCATCCAGTTCTGTGCCGTTCTCACACTTGTTATAGTTGAACTCATGCTCGCAGTCACTGGGTAGATCCACATATTTGACAGCCTCTCTTTTTATCTGACCTTCCCCTTTACCAAGCGTGATGCCCTTCTTCAGCTACTGAAGTTATGACTTAAGTACACGTATATTTATTTCCTTACCACCACTTGTCTGTCAATTTGTTGTGCTGTGGTGGCTTGTGTGTTGCTGTGGTGCTAGAAGCTATGTCACTGGAATATCAAATGCCAACAGGGCCACCCAAAGTGACCAGGTTCCAGTAGAATATTCCATGCTGAGAACAGAATCTAAGAAGGACTTGACTCACCACTTTGGAGGAAGAAGTCACTGAAAACCTTATGCATGACTTCAAAGCATTGTCAAATGAATGCCACGCCATTCCTCTTGATTGTGTTATTCCTGGCATATGATTTTCTGATTCAAAATGACCACTATCAGGCCATTTCAACCCACTAATGCCTAGGATATCAATCTTCATGCATTCCATTTCATTTTTGACCATTTACAGTGGTCCTTAATTTATGCTTCACAGAGTCCAAGTTCATTGTCAGAAAGGATCTTGCTAAATCCATCCTGAAGTACAGTGCTATCTATGATTGGATTCTATCTATCCACCTTCAAGGTCAGACTCACCTCATTCATCAAAGTAACAGCCTTGATCTTCAACATTTTAGAAAAGTCTTCGTGTAGCAGATTTTCCCAATGTAATGCATCGTTTGATCTCTTGACTGCTATGTCCGTGAGCACTGATTATAGATCCAGGAAAGATGAAATCTTTGAGAATTTCAGTCTCTTCTCTGTTTATTATGATTGGTCCAGTTGCGAGGAGTTTTGTTTTCTTTACATTCAGTTGTCATCCAAACTGAAAGCTGCAGTCTGGTTTTCATGAGCAAGTGTTCCAGTTCACCTTGCTTTCAGCAAGCAAGGCTGTGTCATCTGCATATTGTAGTTTGTTAATAAGTCAGTGGCTGCTACTGAGTTCACTCAATTTCTTGAGTAGATCTGATGGTGCTGTGTACCTAGCATGGGCTGCTGACTGCAAGGCCAGCAGTTTAAATGCTGTAGACTGGAAATGAACTGATGGCAGTAGGATGGACCTCCTTTCTTTCTTCCTTTTTATTATTTTGTTTGGGGGCTCTTACAAATCTTATAACAATCCATCATTCAATTGTATTAAGCCCACTGGTACATGTGTTGCCATCATCATTTCCAAAATATTTTCTTTCTACTTGAGCCCTTTGTATAAGCTCCTCTTTCATTCCCTCCCTCCCCCACCCTCCCACCCTTGTGAATCCTTAATCAACTATATATTGTTATTATTATTTCATGTCTTACACTGTCTGTTGTCTCCCTGCATGCACATTTGTTTTATTCATCCCTTGGGGGGCTATATATCCAATCTTGTGATGGGTTTCCCCTTTCTCTTCCTTCCCCCTCCAGAACCCAACCCCTACTCTATGGGGTGGGATAACTCTGTTTTGTAGGGTAACTATGAGTCAGAATCAATTTGATCACTGTATGGTTGAGAGCGTCCCTTATAGGATGTCAGATATTAACCCATATGATCTTGCAAGTAATTAATAAAAAGAATTTATTAGAAAATGAAAAAGGAGCCCTTATAGCATAGCCATAATAGCAAGGAGGTATAGTCTGTGTGATTTGTATATTTTTTCCCAAACCCCATAAAATCATAGGGTTTCTTTTTTCTTCTGACAGCAAATTATTGTATTTATCTAATAATCATTTGTATAATGCCATGATTTGGATTTCTGGAGTTGGTAGATATAGCAGGATTTCATGACATGGACACCACTGTTGTGCAAATTTTAGACAAACAGGATTAGAATTCACATTTTAAAGGATACCTAATCAAAAGCATACCAATGTAGAATGAACCATATATATTAATAGGATCAATACTAAAGAAGCTAACATTTTGGAGGAGGTAAATTGAGAGGTAATTGTAGAGCAGGAGATCTTCTGAGCTCTGTGTGGAGGGTTTAGGCTTGATCTCTTCCCCGGTGGTACATTGAGATGAGAAGTCTCTTCATTGCCCCTTTCATGTCCTTGTTTCTCAAAGTGTAGATGAAAGGGTTAAGCATGGGGGTCACCAAACTATAGAACAGGGACATTATTTTGTTCTTGTCCTGGGAGTTAGTATCAGAGGGTTGGACATACATAATGATGGCTGGTCCAAAGAAGAGAGAGACAACGATCATATGAGAACCACAAGTATTAAAGGCCTTCTTCTTTCCCTCTGAGGACTGAATCCTCAGGATGGTAGCAACAATGAACCCATAAGAGACAAGAATCAGTGACAAGGGCACCAGGGAGTAGAAGGTCCCCACAGTGGAGAGCATCGTTACATTGAATGTAGTATCAACACATGACATCTCAATCATCACTGGGACCTCACACAGGAAGCTTTCTACTTTGTTGTTCCCACAAAGTGGCAGAAGCACAGTGAGGGAGGACTGAAGCAAGGAGTTAGCCAAACCACTTAGCCAAGCAATGACTACCAAGAGGACACAAAGTCTCTGATGCATGATAGCGGGGTACCTCAAAGGTTTGCAGATGGCAATGTAACGGTCCAAGGACATCACAGCTAAGAGAATGCACTCAGTGGCCCCCAGGAAGTGAAACATATAAAATTGGGTCACACAGCCCTCATAGCTGATAGACTTATCCGGTCCCCAGAGGTTGAGCAGCAGCTGGGGGATGGTGGTTGTGGTGAAACACAGGTCCAGAAAGGAGAGGTTGGAAAGGAAGAAGTACATAGGGCTGTCCAGGTGAGGGTCTACCCTGGATACCACAATAATGGAGATGTTGCCCACCAGTGTGAAGATGTAAGCAAGGAGCACCACCACAAACAGAGGTGTTTCCAGCCAGGGATGGTCTGAGAAACCCAAGAGGATGAAGACCTTTGGAAGAGTCGCATTGTTGGGATTCATCGCCACCATTGCTCACATGGAGGGAGTCGAGTTGGAATCCTTGAATTGTTAATCAATTCTGTTAAATAAAACAAAATGAATTACGGAGATCCTGTCTGTGTTGTAACTCCATAATCTGATACTTGTAAGTATCCACAATATGATAAACTATCCTAAAATTAAGAAAAACATGATTCTCCATACCACACATAATAATTTTGTAGGACCTCTAAAGGAAATACCAGTAAAGCTCTTATTTTTCCTAAAAATGAATTTGGCACATTTTAACGAAATAATGGCTACATAAAGGACATCCACAGTTGTTTTCATGTTAAAGAGGAGAATGGAATAAAATAAAGCAGAGGACCGAATGAACCGAGAGAGGGCCCCACAACCATCCATGCACACTCACCACAAGGGTCCATTTCTTTCATGAGTGGTCTGTTGCCCCTAGCCACTCTTTTGTTTAATTTATGTGCTGACTTCAGGTATGTCTAAAACTGGTTAAGCTCCACTCGGCTCAGTCTGATTTCCACAGAAACAGCCAACACAGAGTGCGTTTCCTTAGGTGTACTCCCCAGACTCTAGAACGAATTTCTGGCAAAGTCAAATTTTTATTATAAAAAGAAACATAGCAACATTCAGTATCTGCAAAACAAACCCAATGATGATTGGCCATACAGCCCACTGATAACAGGTATCAGTGTTTAAAATCACAGGATGGCATATCTTAATTCATGTTCATCTTAACAGTTATATGCTATCTTAATGGCTTATTAGGTTAATTTTCTCCAGCTGTGGGTATGTGTGAGCTTGTGTGAGCTGGATTACGATGTAAAACTATAGCTCTCACTAGTAATGAGAGAGTTTGAAACACACTCATATAGTAGAAAAGTAAACAGAATATAGGATCAGAAAACCTGGATCCAGTCACTGCCAACAGTTAATACATATAACATTTATTCTCTGCTTAAATACTTGGCACTTCCCTTGCTGTGTTATGGGGAGTACTTAGTTCAATAAGATGATCACACGTTATTAAGTGGAATACATCATGTCGGTTATATTCATGAAATACAGTGTCCTCTTTGATGGTGAGTCCTTCAGAACTACAAAAATAAAACAGATAAGTTTTATTTTTCTCCAGGTTGTTTCCAAATTTTAACAATGTCCTTACAGTTTCACAGGAAGTCTCATAGGGATTCGATTTTATTCCCGTTAATGTAACCATATCACTGAGATCACTAGGCTTACATATGATGTTAATGATTTCAAGATACTTTTGTGTGGTTACATAGACTCCAATTAATGTGACCACTCCCTTATGCAAATAGTAGTACCCCTAGATCAATTTTTAAAGATATATTTCAATGTTTTAAATTATAATGATATTGTATTCATCTTGAAAGACTTTTATTTATCCATGCATTATTTAGGAGGCAACTTTGAAAAAGATCATAACATACACAAGGTTGTTCAAGAAGATTAAAGCAAACTATGTTGGTCCAGCACAAGAACACATCCAACCACATAGATCTAGGCCCTCACAGTCCCAACACCTACCTTAAATAAGGTTGAGAGTCGTCCTTTGTTACATCGGGTTACATGAGGTGAAACAGACTTGCTGTCACTTGGAAGTAACACCAACCCCTATTTTAATGCAAAAAGAATTCTTATCTTTTTTCAATCAGAATTAAATATTAAATGCAGAAAAAGATGAAAAATTCTCAGTGTTCAGTGGATTTACTTCATAACGTAGTTCTTTCATAATCATTTACTTGATTTAAAAGAACCTCATTTCCATCTAAAATGACATTAAGAAAAGGTTGTGATTCTTTATATATAGTCATGGGACTTTGTTCTGCATATAGATGATTAATCTCAGTGGAAATTTCTTGGCAAGAGACTCTGTAGAAATTCCCCAGAGAGTTTACTACTTTCTAACTTCTCCTTGCCTAGTAAAATAGAACTGTAAGTGCTGGTATTTTCCACACCTGGTTGAATGCTGGACTGAAGTTCAAAATAATTCTGGAACAGTTAAGTTCTTTTAACAATTTAGTAGAAATTTCATTGCATTGTTGGGGAAATGTAAGAAAATCATGTTCGGTTCTTTTTAAAAACAATTTATTTTATTGGGGCTCGTACAATTCTCATCACAATCCATACAT